AGAGTTCTATTCTTTTTTAAAACATGTACTTTACTATGCTCATGAGAAATTTGAGCGCTAGGATCATTGCTAAATTTCACTTTGTCTGGTTTTGTTTCAGCATGCCCCAAATCCAATCCCATCTTCAAACAAATGATCTTCAATCGTTCTAAATAAATGTGTGACACAAAATCTCTTAAATATGAGCACCATCCACAGTAAATGAAAATGATTCCATTAAAACTTTCCCGAATGGCAAAAATGTTTCTCAAAAATATGATATATTTCTTCATTTCAGTTTTCTTGTTCTTGAAAAATCATTTGATTTTTAGGCAGTTCTAGAAAGTACAATATCATTCTTACGACATTAATTGATAAATTCGACGTCGATCACCAAAAAATTTCGGAAAAAACACTTGAAAATCGTAAGAAAATTTTTTATTTTATTTTATATCAATTTGTTTATATTGAGAGAAGAAAAGAAGATGGGAAATGTAAGTTTTTAAGGCATTGTTGGTTCACAATGAATTGTCTGTAATCCCTAAGCTTTCTTCTCCTTATAAAACTACTTGGAATAAATATATATTCTTTTATCTATTATCTACAAATTCTTGATATAAATTTAAAAATAATAACAATTAATTAATTGATTGGTTATAGGGCCAAAAGGCTCAACATAAAAGAGAAAGAAACCAAAAAGCAAACGGAGCAAAAAATGCAAGCAGTCAATTGAAAGTTGTATGTTTTAAATATTTATTAATTTTTTATTAATTTAGAAAACATCAATTCATTCATTGTCCGAGTGATTGATTTATTAATCAATTTAGAATGAAGCAGCAAGAACTGTGATTTGTCAAGTTTGTCGTAATACTTTTTTATGTACTATAAGAGCTAAAGCGTTTGTATTTATTTATCTTAATAATTTACAATTTTTATTACTTACACGATTTAATTAATTTATATGATTAATATAATATTTAGATTATCTGAACATGCTGAAAATAAACATAGCAAAAGGTTAGAAGAATGTTTTCCTGGATTTGTTGAAACTCAAAAAAATTGATGTTTTGCTTGCATATAGTCACATGGCACAATTATAGAGATTAAAATTGAAAATTAAAATAAAGATGTAAATTATTTGAAATTATGAATGGAATTTGTTCTTTAAATCGGTGGATATTATATTTGAGTAATAGAATATATACTTGAGAACGTCAGAATTGTAAACGGATTTAATAACAAAAAATCTTCATATCAGTCAGTCCCAATGATTGGCATGGAAATGCTTTTCCTTCAATGTAAAGTGTGCATACCACAATTATACAGTTTATTGTCCTTTACAATTAGTTTCAGCCTCAAAGACTGTCTTTTTTAAAAGATCAAAAGACCAGTCTTTCCTAAGTTGGTTAAGAAGACTGGTTAAAAAGATCATTTAGAGACCAGTTAAAAGTCAGTCAGTTCGGTGATGAACTGCAGGCAGCCAAAATATATGGATCTTTCTAAAATGCCTTAAGTTATGTAATTGATGACCTGTCTATGAATGTGTGGATGCTATATAATGATCAATGGGGGGATGTCACAAAAATTGCTAATTGACTACCTTTGTTAGAAAGTTGTGTTATACTTCATATTATCATTTTTTATATTTATATTAAAAAAAAAAAGGTTGCTATGGAGGTGCCATGGATTTGAAGGTTTCTTGTGCAATGTATATATGGTAATAATAACAAATGGACATTTGGCTTAGTTATAGAATCTGTTATTATTATATTAATAATTTATAATGGGACATATAAATTGGGTTTAAATTCTCAGTCTGTTATATATATGACCTGTTTATAAAAGAAAGCCTACCATATATGATCTCATATTATGATTATTATTTTTAAAATAAAATATCCAATCTGGATATCATGTAGCATAACTTTTTTGTATTCAACCATGTTTTTGTTGACTTGAGAAAGGTACCATTCATCATATCCAAATACTATCAACTCTATTATTTCCTTCCTCTGCCAATCGCCATATCCTACTTAAACAAATCAAATTAAGCATCTGACATTTATATGTTCAATATATTCCTACATTTAATAAAGACTAACCAAGAGATATCTAAACTAGAGGCCTGCATGGGTCATCATAATTGAATGATTACCCAACCCAAACCCGTATAAATTTATAATTTGCAACCCAAACCCAACTTGTACACAAAAAATTATAAAAATTTCAACCCGAACCCAACTTGTACAGTGCGGATCATCTATACTCAAAAGTTAAAATTTTTGAAATATTATGTGATTCACACATTGAATTTTAAGAAACTTACCACCATTCAATTTAGCTTTAAAAGGGAGTCTATTAATCTAAAAAAATAATTTGTCTCAAATTTTCTTTTCATAGACTTTTTTAATTTGAAAGTTATGCTCAGAAGTGCAACAATAATTTTCGTGTTACAATATTTCAGTGTTGTGCAAATGGAACATTGTAACGCTATTGGAATGTTCCGATGTAGATCTTCAATTGATATTAACCAATAAAATTCGTGTGTATGACACTA